AACTATTTAAAACGGTGATGGCAGTTATTGCGAATTTAAAGCTATTTTAAATATGGCAAAACGCAACAATAGGGCTGCCCAGAAGAGGAGAGTCACTGGAATATTTTACCTAGACACACGGGCACAGAGGTAACAACGTAATCTGAATAATATTTTTTTGTGACTAAAAAAAAACTAAAAAGACAACTGAATAAAATAACTTTTTTTGTGGAATGGATAATGGATGTCTAGCTGTATAATGTTAAATATTGCCCCCCTTAAGTGTGCTAAGCATTTTAGTATTACTTAAATATACTAGACGGTAGGGTAATTGTTTTTTTGCTTTGTTTATTGTTCTTGTCATTCTGTTGTATTCAGTGCTTTTTAATCCATATACCATCAGACTATGTGTTGACGAATTCTGAATTCAGATAAAATAAATGTAGCCAATAAATTAACCAATTATCATTTAACTTTTTGATCTACTAACTTTGTGTTTAAGACAAAATACCATCATCAATCATTCAACAACAACCACCAATCCAAATCAGACCATGTTATGGTCTGATTTGGATTGGTGGTTGTTGGAAACAACATGCATTGTTTGCATGGACAGGCATTGCAATTTTCTTTTTCTACCAAGAAACATTTTAATCTGCAAGCAATGCTATAAAACCATTCTAGCAGAAGCTTTGGTTGATAACCTACTTCTTCCTACGTGTTCAAAGAGCTGTAGGATTGTGGAAGATACTATGAAAGTTTTCATTTAAGTCTCTGGATTTATTAATTGAAGTTGTGATTTTCAATGTTTGCTATTTTTTATATGTTGATACTTTTTCTTATTGTCTTACAAAAGATATAGATTTTTTTTAAGTGCAATAATTTGTATATAGGTAATTACAGTATAGAATTTATTTTAGTTAAAATGGTCCATTTATGTTTGTTGGGCAATTTTTTAGACAAATCAAGCTCCTACTTACCATAATTTTAACTAAGATTTGTTATGCAACAACTAACCTCTATTAACAACTTTGCTAATTGTTTCTTTTTTTATTTTATAAAACAATTTTGCAACTTCTTAAACTCTTGTGCTAAAAACTAAAACAAACAAAAAAATTTTATTGTTTTCATCGATGCTATTAGGACAAAATGAAAATACACTTTGATAATTTAAAAGATGTAACTACATTTGTAGAATCCACCGATGTAGTTGTACAGATGTAGTTATTCGTAATTAAAAAGATATAACTATATCTGTAAAATCTCCAGATGTAGTTGCACTGATTATAACGGGTGACAACTAAAAAACGAGACTGGATTTAAAAACACATATCTCTTTAAAGGAATAAGATAAAACAAAAAGGAAAAATGTTCTAAAAAGTATTTTTATTCTAGTTTTTAAATATATAATCAGTTGTTCTCAATTAACCATTTCTTGTGACTTCATCAATTAGGCCTGGGATAGAATGAGCTAGTCTCCGTATGAGCTCAATATCAATTTTATTAAGGCAATACTTGATTCTAGAACGTAATTTTTGAAGATTTTTTGCATGCCAATTATTTTTGTAGACAAGGCTTTTCAAAATACTTCAAAAATTTTCAAAAGGGCAACATTCTGACAAGTTTGTAGGGTTATCCGCTTTCTCAACATAATGCACGTTTTCCTTGTTTAGGTACGTAACTACTGTTTTTGCATAGTGAGGTGATGCTAAATTTGGCCATAATACATATGCACCATATGAATGATACTTATTGATAAATGGAATAAGTCTCTTCTTAATACATTTGTTTAAATAGATTTTTTGATTTACAGCAAGTCCACCTGGCACAAAATAAAGTTGAGAAATTCCATTTTCAGAAAAAGCAATCCATAGAAAAAACTTTTGTTTTGTTTGGTATTTAACTGTAGATGGAGTAAATTTTACATCACTAGTAAAAAATATACATTAAACTAAAGTAGACTATAAGTTTTGATCTTCTTTTGCAGTAGAGAATAAGTAAAAAATGGGTGTTTTTTTTTTGTAATTTTATTTAGGTGCCCCAAGAAGTCCTTATGGTCTAATCACAGAGCACTACGGATGAGCATTTAATTGGAAGTTCATGCTTCCTTCCTAACCGATATCACAAAATTTGTCCAAAGGTTAGGATTGAACCACGGATCCTTTGTTTCTAAAGCAAGCGCACTACGACTGCTGCTGCATAAAGTCCTTTAGAGTTAAACCAACAAGCAAATAAAAATTTTCTATTTTCTTAGAGATGTCATAGTGGTAAAAAGTAAACAGTTAGAGGAAACAGTTGAGTGGTGCCGAATAAACAATAAACGTGGTTGGGCTGCAACCAATTCAGAAAAATATCTACTAATTAAAGATCTTAGAACAATTAACAAACATATTGATGGTGCATATAATCTGTAATAAAGTCTTGGTTTTCATATTGTTCATTAAGAAAACTAAACTTATACTGTTTAGTTTTCTCGTATTGTTATTTCAATAATTTGTTTAGATACCTCCAAGACTTAAACAAGTTGGAGTTGACAAGAATAATGTTGAGCGTTTTGGGAGTAAGAAAGAAAGCCTGTAGGACGTCTGTCTGTAGAACTTATAGAATATAATATTTTCATTAATGCAAATCATTTAGAAACAGGTGTATAGCAGGGAGATATAGATACTTCTATAATTTATAATCATGATAGTACTCCCAGTTTATAAACTATGGAGTTGATGGTACTCCAAATGGTTTAGTGTATGCTGAGAGAGGTGAAAGTTGTCAAAAGATGATAAGAGAAAATAGAGAATGCGTACTTATACATCCTTTTGTTTCCATTAGAGGAGAAAACACTTTTTGTCTTGAATACGATGTGCCACATCATATTCAAGATAAAAGAAATTAGTAACAGCATGGCTCTAAAAGTAGCAGTTAAGAATTCTAAACCATCTAATCTCCACAAATGACAGTGGAAGTCAGGATCACAGTAGACTTCTAAGTACATATCAAATGTTTAACCATATTTTAGAAAAAAATAATGTAAAACGGCTTGTTGTTGTCCTATTTGATGGTCACTCTTTAAGATTTAACAATGATGTATTGACATTTTTAAGAAGCAAAAATATTAGACTTTTATCACTCCAACTGACACAACTGACGTTACTCAGCTCTTTGATCAAATCAATCAGAAATTGCACACTGAGTATAGAGGTGCTAAATCAGTACTTTATTCTTTGTTTATGACAATCGACAAAGGTTTCATAAATATACTTGCAGATTTATGGCCAGAGTGGGCATCAAAACAAACAATCATGGATGCAGGTAAAAAAGTTGGCATTTCAAGTGTAGGAATCACTGTTTAATGGATGCAGGGAGATAAGTTTTTACGAGCTGAGCTGTTTATTAATGAAAATACCGAAAAAAAGCAATTATCAACAGCAGTAACAATTTTATCTCCAAAAGATATTTGTTGCGGCTCAGCAAGATATTGGAAACATAAATACGAAAGTGCCATGGAAGCTTATCAAATGATATCTGATAAATAAATATCACTGGAAAAAATATCTAACTTGTTACCTGTAACCAAAACAACACATAAAATAAACAAGGAAAATGTTAGTTACCTAGGTTCACGGCTCAATTAAGGGGAAAAAAAAATATTGGAAACAGTTTTTTCAATCAAGGAAGACAAAGCGAAAAAAAAGAAAGCTAATAAAGAAAAGAAGTCCAAGCAACAACAACAAATTGGAGCATTCTATAAATGTAAGGAAGAATGTACATGTGGAAAGAATGTTTGTGCAGCAACTAACCTTCGAGAATGCTCGTGTTGCAATAATGTTTTGAAATCTACAGGTAGTATAGCATCATATCGAGGTAAAACAAGCTTAAAACCGAATATGATCAAATTATTTTGTGTAATAGGACCCAAAAAATGCCTTCAGTTTGAGTCTGATAAAGATAACGTTGAAAACTTTATTCCTCTAACTGATTTTAATTAGAATGCAACTTAGCATTCTCTATTCGCTAAGATTATAGTTTACCTGGATCTTATTTTTATATTTTTTGTTCAAATTTTTTTTTAAGTTTGTTAATGTTATTAAAAAAAAATTTAAGTTATATAGTTTTTAAAAATTTAAGTTATATAGTTTTTGGTTTGGTACCTCGAAACGTTAAGTGCAGCAACTTAAAATGCTAGGTATTTTAAAAGGCGATTTTAAGAAAATTTAATCTATTCTGCGCATGCATCTTTTTAGCACAGTTTTTGGAGACTTAAGGCAACATTTCTGATAAGATTCTGCAAACTTAGTTTTCAAGAAAGGCTTAAAATATTTTTTTCAAAAAATGTGTTAATAGCTTGTAGACTTTTTTTAGCGTCTTCGTAATTTAGACTATTTTTTAAGAATTACATGTAATATTTTATTTTATTTTTGACTTCACATTATATTCTTTATTCAGATTATTCAACGCTTTCCGAGTTTATTTTAAAAAATTAAGTTCTATGTTGGTTTATTTCCAACCTGACATTCATGCAATGGTAATGCAAAAACATTCACATTTAATAAATATTTAAATATTCATGCGACAATATAAAATCTAAATTATATTAAAAAAATGTAAAACTTATTATTTAGCAATATAAAGTAAGAAGTATTAAGTATAAAAATAAAAATTTCAAATAACATACATCATGTATCATACTATCTGCATTATATCTATATTATAATATATATCATTTTTGTTAAATTCACACATTTCCTCCAAGGATCCAGAGGACGCCATTTTTTTTTGCAACTTCCTGCTAACCTTAAACTTTAAAAGACAATTCCGCTGCGCAGAGAAATATGTTGTGCGCTATGCTTCTACAAGTATAGAGTAGATTTGAACCTCAAATCTCTAGTCTGTAAGCCGAGTGGTCTACAACTAATCTACTATCAAATTGATACCGGCTTAATAAATAGCACACACAGATATATATATATATATATATATATATATATATATATATAATATATATATATATATATATATATATAAAATATTATTATGACTTTTTTATTTACATGTCTAACAAAATTTAAAATAAGTTACATTTATTCACTAACAATAGTTTCTAAGAAAATGGTGTCATCGACAAGATAATTAGGTGAAAAAAGAGACTCTTTAGGGAAAAATTGTGGACATCCAGCAGCAATATTCATATCTCTCACTGGGCGTTGAAAACTTGAAGAATTAATATCTGGTATAAAAGATTCAACGTGACTTTTAGCTTGGTCTAAAACATTAATTAATCTAAAAGTAACTCTTTTCTTAAAAGGCCATTCTAATAGCTGGTCATACTCGGATTTCATAATAACAAAGTAAAGAGATAAATGTGTTTTTGAACCACTTCCATCACCATTAAGATAAAGTCTAAAGAAATAAAAAATAGTTTAATACAATATTAATATTATTATTAATATATATATATATATATATATATATATATATATATATATATATATATATATATATATATATATATATATATATATATATATATATATATATATATATATATATATATATATATAAATACAACACTCACATTTACTAAAAACAATTGCGTAAATTAAGGGGTAAGCCAGGTAATGGAAAAAAGATCTTAAAAAAGTTCAAGTTTCATTTGATATAGTTAATTACATTCACTCATACACTTGACGACTTAAATACTTGACCTAAACTTTCTCTTGTAGAAATACACAAATCATCACAAATATCACACTCACAAATGTCACATTTGATTTAATAACATAGCAACAAATAATTCTAAATACTCTAAATGAACAAAATCCTGACATAAAATACATTGTAGAACTAAAAAATCACCAAAAACAACCTAATTTTTTAGATAAAAATATTGCAAACAAAATGCATGGAGCTTATGAATAACAAATACATAAAAAAAAAGCAATTAGTAATATTCAACTTAAACTAAACTCAAATGTCAATCGTAACATTAGCATGTTTAAAGAGTTTTACGTGTTGTACAATAAGAACATGCTTTCAAAGACATCTTTAAAATTGATGAGCTTTTGTTCTTGTGGTGAGCACAAAAAGAATAACCCGATTAATATTGCCGGAGACTATATAAAAAACGATTTTAAATTTTCCAATTATCAATCAATGAACAACCAACTAATTATAAAGCTATGGATAAATTGTGAGTTCTAAAAGAACTTAAGAAACATAAAAGTTATATTCACATGTGCTCCAAATTTAATCAATATATTCCAGGCGTCTAAACAATAAACAACATATAACCCAGGCATCTACCAACTAAAATGTTCATTTAATTCTATATACATTTTCAATACTAAGAAGAAATTTATATCAAGATGTATTGAGCACCAACAAAATAATATTATAACGTTCACAGAAACAATAGCACAGTTAATTAACGTGGTACGTATCAGGCAAGTAATTGCGTGTGTGAGTTCTAGTTTTATATTAGCTTGAACATTTTTTTTTTAAATTTTCAATTTTTTAAACAGGAATCCTTGCATTATGAACTTGCATGCATAAAACAGATAATCTTTGATATAATTGACGTGATGTAAAATATACATTTCAAATGCAAGATTTGCAATACAACATGTATGAAATACTCATCTGAAACATCTGAAATACTCATCTGTTTTAGGCTTTTGGTTTAGTAAAGGTTAGAGATGGTATCATATAAAAATACTAATCTTGGACAGGTGTAAAATACATTTTTCTAATTTTCTGATAGAAGGCTCCTCCTAATGTGAGCTAGCTCTAAAACTCAGTTGAATGGTTTTAAGGCTAGTTGGTAGTATAGTTTTCTAAACGTTATGGCAGTTCTTAGGAAAGCTAATTCTATCACCATCTATAAAACACTAGGAAATCATCCATGATCAACATGGGGTAGTAAACAGTGCCTATCTATAAGCAACATGGCACAAATAACAGTGTTAAGGAGATTGATGTGTATTGCCAAGACTAAATATCAAGATATTTGTTACAATTATGGTTTAATTAGCAGTAATAAAACTGCACAAAAGTTCAAGATACTAAATTCTATGTGTGCATGATTCAAGTTCTTTCAGGTTTTTTTATTATAATTTTTAATCAAAAAATTACGCTTTAGCCTGATGCAAAATTCATCAGACCAACTTGCTATTTGAAATTTAAATTCAACAATGAAAGGGGTGGAGCAAAAGCTACTACTATTAACATACTAAAGGCGATCAATAAAATCTGGCATGCTGGTCATTTCATAAGCTCTCTATACTTAGTAGATCTCTCTATACTTTACTGAAATTTAACTGTAGTATTTAAGTTTTCTTTAATAGAAAATATATTTTTTGATTTCCAGTAATATTTAAGATACCTCAAGTTTCACCTGAGGTATCTTAAAAGTTAAACAACAAGATACTTAGGAACAACAAAATACTTGGTTTCTTGTTTTCTCACTAATAATTATTAACTGACAACACAGCTATATACAGTATTAACTATACATGTCTTGATAAAAAGTTATTACTTTTTAATTGATCAGAAGTCAGCCGATTCAAATTATCATTTACTGTAAGATTAAATTTATTTTTTAATCACTTAAAATTTTTAGAATTAATTGGAGATTTATTCAAGTGTTTTATGACTTTAAACATCAGTTTGTAAAAAATTAATTTTTCTACTAACTGGTTGATTTTTAGATTTATTTGTGGCTTTATTTATTATAAAAAATAAAGCCACAAATACACTTTAAAACATCGTTGTAGACGCCATTTCCGTCATTTTAAGCCTACTTTGGAATTTTTCAGAAATTCCTAGTGATCCCTGGTGTGGTCCCTGTTAGACACAAGGGAACAACTAGAAAAGAAACACATACAAAGAAGCGTTTCTTTTAAACTTCTTTTTTTCAAATATCTATTAATATTACTTAATATTTGTAACCTTTATATTATATTAAAATATTATTAATATTACTTAATATTTGTAACCTTTTTATTATGTTTATTACTAATAATTATTATAAAGTAAATTTAAAATTTTACTTCTATTAATTAGTTTTTGAAATCAGGTTTTTTACATTTTATAAACCAGGTTTACATTTCATTGTCGATTGAATCATATTACTGTGAATATTTTAAGTTAGTTTTAAATATAAATTTTTTAAATTATTGTAGATTTTTAATTTTTAATAATAAATTTTTGAATTAATATTAATAGGTTTGCTGTTTTTTAATCAATTTTTAGCAATTATTTTACTACAAATATCAACAATAGATATTAACAATAATTAACTAAAAAGAAAAATAATGGGATGAGGTACCTGAGCTTACCATTTTCCAAATGTTCTTATTGCTAGTGTATATAATTAAACTTATATATTATAAAAGATATTAACACATACTATTTATAACTTCTTTCTTATTCTTAATCAACTCGTAAAAATAGAAGTTTTACAAATTATTAAAATTGTATTTACCTGCTGCAAAATTTATAACCGCCACGACTGGTAAATGATGGTGCACTGTGAATAGCCAAGGTTTTACCTTCTTCAGCTTGTTTAAAACGGAAACGAAAATCAGTAATTCGCCACAAATGTTTACCATCGTATCTTGTATTTTCAAGCATCTGTAACTTAAGGTCAATTTCAGATATACTTTCCCCTATTACAGCATTATCAACCTCTATCTTGTCTGCAATGCTAGTTAACTCCTCAATCTTTGGCCGCAAAGATAGAAAGTCATCCATATTTTTTTTTGGAAGAAGTTTATCTATTTTTTCTTTACATTCGTTCAATTTTGTTTCAAAAGTTTTAATTTGATAATCAGACACTGATACCTCAGTACCTGACAAGTTTAATAAACTTTCTTGTAACACTACTATAATACCTCTAACATCTTTAATTTGAATCTCTATTTTTTCATATTTTTTTGAAAGTGATTTAAAATTTTTTTGTTGAACTCCTAACTCATGTTGCATTTCATCATAATCTTCTTTCAGTTTTTTTACCACAGAAACTGTAATGAGAAAGTGATCTGTGGACTTCAGATGATTATTGAGATTATCTGAATCAATGGCCTAAAAAAAATTGAACTAAACACAAGTCATAATGTAGCATATAAATAACACTTAATACTAAATAATATAAATGCAGCCATTAAAAGCAAAATAAAACCAACCACTAATTAGTGTTGGAAGTTACTGTAAGAGAAAAGATGAAGATTGTAGAGCAAGATAACGATTAACAGACGACTTAAAAGATTGCAAATTATATGAATCAGGAAAGCCAGATGAAGGAAGCGAATTCCGAAAAACTGATGTTCGAGGAAAAAAACTAGACGAATAAGAGTTTTTGGAGCACTTAGGAACAGTAACAGAAAAAGGATGAGACTTAATTGAATGATGAGTAACACGAGAATGAATTTTAGTAGATGGCACAAGAGACGCTAGCTCTTTAGAGCAGTGCCCATTATAGTATTTGTAGAAAAGAGAAAGAGAAGCAACATTACGACGATGTGACAGAGGTTGAAGTTTGGCTGCAAGAGCAGATCCAAACATGTTTACAATGCGTTTTTGCACCTTGTCTAAAAGAGAAAGAGCATCATTAGGAGATCCACCCTAGATATTGCAACAGTATTCCATAAAAGGTCGGATTTGAGATTTATAGAGATAGAGAATAGAATCCAGAGTAAGAAAGTGTCGAGCTCAATAAAGAGATGCAACTTTAGCAGATGCTAATTTTGCAATGGATTTGATATAGGGTTTCCAAGAAAGATCAGAACTGAGAGTTAATCCTAGAAGATGAAGGGTAGATGACTCATCGAGTACATTACCGTTCATAAATAAAAGAAGGTCTAAATTATTGCAATAATGATTGGCTGAAAAAAATTTAGTTTTATCTGAATTAAAGTTCACCAGCCACAGTGAGCCCCATGCAGTAGCAGAAGTGAGATCCTTTTCAAGCTCAAATGCCCCCTGCATGCAATCAGATAAACTGTAAGAAGAAAGCTTATGGAGAAGACCAGCATGCCAAACTTAAATAAAATAATAATAAAACCTATTGGTTATTACTGTTAGCAAATCAGCCGTAGAACGAGAAGATCGAAACCCATACTAATGATCAGAAAGTACGTTATGAGATTCAAGATAAGAGATTAAGTGTTTGTTAATTAAAGATTCAAAAACCTTGCTTATGATAGGAAGAAGACTAATGGGACAGTAGTTAGATGAATCAAATCGCTCTCCAGAATTTTAAAAAATAGGGATAACAGATGCTGCTTTCCAGCAGGCTGGAAAACAAGACTTTGATAAGCACTTGTTAAATAGTTTTGAAAGGATAGATGACAGCTCCGGAGAACGCTTCTGCAAGACTATAACAGGTATGTTGTCCGGGCCGCAAGCTGTAGAAGAGTCTAAGCAGGAAATCACTTTAGATATAAAAGCTGGAATGATATGGATGTCGAACAATGGATCAACCTGTTTGACGGCTATATCAGGTACAACGCAACTAATGGAGTCAAGAGATGATATTGATGAAAAGTTCTTAGCAAACAATTCAGCTTTGTCTTTAGGTGAGGTGACAAAGTCTGAACCATACAAAAGAGGTGGAATTACAGACTTGCCCTTATTATTGATACTATTAAAGATTCTCCAGAAGTCGCGAGAGCCTTACTTTTGTGATGAAATACAAGATTTCATGATCTGAGAATAGCAGGCTTTGGCGTTAGACAAATCCTTTTTACAATGGTTCCTAGCAGTAATAAAGAGACGTCTGTTTTCTGGAAAATTGTTTTGCTGATAGATATGGAAGTAATGGTTTCGATTGGAGAAAAACCATGGAGAAGAGTGAGGCTTGACCTGGAATCATCGAGAGGGAATAAAGGATTCCATGCCAGCCTGAATCCACGAAGTTATGTAAGAAGCACATTTGTCAATAGAAAGACGAAAGATTTCTACCCAGGGGCCATCACAAAGAAAATCACGGAAAGAGTCCCAGTCAGCTTTAAGGTAGTTGTAAGATGTACGATGATAGGAGGATTCTGATGGTAAAGAAGAATGAGATAATAGTTTTAGAGAGACCAAACCATGGTTAGAGGCACCTAAGGGTAAGTGTGGAGAAATTGAGCACTGACTAGGATCAAAAACAAGACATAAGTCAAGTAGAGAAAGTAAATGATTCGAGTTATCTGGAAAGCGAGTTGGAAAGTTGACTATTTGAGTTAGGGATTGAGAAAGACAAAAGTTGTGGGCCTTAATGCCTGCAGAGTCACTGACACTAGAGCCAAGCCATACAGTGTGATTAACATTAAAGTCACCCACAACAACAATATTGGCTGATGGATAAAGAGAGAGGGCTTGGTCAATATGATCAGAAATAACATCAAGAAGAGTGCGATATAGAACAAAGGGAAAGCGATATAGAACAAAGAGAAAGGTGATAGAGTGAAGTGGTGCTAAACGAAAGCACATAAAAAAGTAGTCTGTGGATTCAAACCTAGTTTCCCGACAAATAGGTGAATTCTTACGAATGTAAATGCCCAGGCCAAGCATGTGACTGTTGGAGTCTTTAAGAATTAAAGAAAGATAACCATCAACACTAAGATCACAAGATGAGACAGCTTAACTCAAATTAGTCTCACAAAGAGCAAGTATATCTGATGAACTTTGCAAGAGATAAGATTCAACAGAAGAAAAGTTATTTCGAAGACCACGAATTTTAGTGAATGATAGGTTTAGCGACCTTGGTGATGACTGTAGCTTTTTGTGTTTAGTATAGTTTTTGTTACTTTATTCATTTTTAGATTTGTTAAAGAGCTTGACTCGAAACATAGATAGTACTCAGTACACTGTTTTATAGCCCAAGCAGTTGCCTCATTTCTATTAATAAACCCTAAGCTGTAACAAAGGGCTCCAATGTGGCCTTGGCAATGCACACCAAAAGTACAAACAGGGACACCATCCATGCGCAACATGGCACTGTTAGTACTTTAATATTTTTCAGCTGTTGATGGAATCAGCCTCTCTGAGAGCTACCACAGAGTTTGGGAAACCTGATTACCAGCCGGCCTCAGAACCATAAAACTGAGTTTTAGAGCTGTAACCTCATTTGGAGATAATAGAATGAGTTGCCTAGTCATAAAAACAGAGACACAAGCAAAACCCATGTATGGAGCCAAAAAGATCCAGCGTTCAACATCCTAAACTAAGTTAGAAGAAAATATTAATCGTTAAATGATATTAAATGGTTTACAAATGATATTAAATGGTTAGCAAATTTTTTTTTAAATTCTGATTTTCTTCTAACAAGGCTGCAAGCAACTACTATTATGTTGGAAGTTACTAGAAAAAAAAAAAAGAATAGAGTTATAGAGCAATCACAAGGTTGACAAAAGACTTAAAAAGTTGTAGGTTGTATGAGTCAGGAAAACATGAAGATGGGAGAGAGTTCCCGAGGGTTGCAGTTCAGGGAAAAAAACTAGATGAATAAGTTTTTAGAGCATGCAGGGATAGATACAGTAAATGAATGAGACTTTGCTGAGTGACAAGTTAAGTGAGAACAAGTTTTAGTTGAGGGAACAAGAGAGCTCCTTTGAGCAGCAATCATGATAGTATTTATAGAAAAGAGAAAAAGATGCAACTTTATGACAATGGGAAAAAAAAACTTACCAGATAGAGCAAATGCAGCAGATGGGGAAAAAAAAACTCAGCAGACAAAGCAAGTTCAACTACATTTACAATGCATTTTTGGAACTTGTTTAGAAGAGACAGGGAATCATTAGAAGAACCAGTCTAAATATGACAACAGTATTCCACACAGGGAAATAATATATTTGTAAAGGTAAAGAATGAAATCAGAAGTAAGAAAAAAGCGAGCACAATAAAGAGAAGCAACTTTACCGGATGCTAAATTAGCAATTGTATATATTGGTTTCCATGAAAGGTCAGTAGTAAACAATAATCCAAGAAGACATAAAGGAGAGGTCTCATTGAGAGGGTTGCCATTCATTAATATAAGAATGTTGACAATAATACAATAGTTGATGCAGTAAATAACTGAACTTTGTTGAAGTTAAAATTTACAGTGAGATCAGATTTAAGATTGGCTGACTGTTCTAAGCAATTGAAAAAAGAAGACTTTTTGTCAAGACAAAAGTATAAAGTTGAGTCATCAGCAAAAAGAGCTACTTTTGATGTAAGATTGTCAGAAGATCATTTATGTAGATAAGAAAAAAAACAGGACTAAGGATGGAACCTTGAGGTACCCCAGAAGTTACTGGAAATGAAGAAGAGTGTTTAGAACCAGGAGTCTACCTTATTCAATGTTAATGCAACAAGTTTATAGGTGAAATAAAAATGCAGATAAAAATATAACAACACAAACACAGTAAAACAGAAGATAGAACAGAACAATCTGCATTAGCCACACACAAGAGATATAGTGAGTTACAAGTTGACTGGGACTGTTGCAGAACTCTAAAAACTGATATTAAAAAGGTTAACAAGAAAGTTTGTGAGGCAATTAAAATACAGTGCCATGAATGTACCCCTCAACAAAATGGTATTAATCTAAACAAGGGACAATATGTGTCAAGGAAATTTTGGACACTTATCTAAAAGTAAAATAGTAAACGGCCTGAGTAAAAATTTTATTTCTGGTTATTTGTCTTCCTGATCAGAAATATAGTTAACTTTAAATAGTGTATGTAAAAGCTACCATTACAAAAAAAAAAAAAGTAACTTGATGTGTGGATACACAATTAAAATTACACAAACTTTAAATTTTAGGCATGATTTTCTCAATTAACACAGTTTTTATACTCCGGTGTAGTTTGATGTGGTTCGGTGTCGTATTTGTACACACCTGTATTTATAAATATATAATCAAATGCATTAGCAAGATAAATTTATATTACAAATACAATATAGTAAAATTATTAAATTATTATTATTATTAAAACTATTTGCTCAATTAAAATATTTTTATCTGCTTTTAAAAGATGAAATAAAACATATCATGAACAAAATTAAAAATTAAAAAATTACCTGGTAGGGACATCCAATTAATTGAAAAGGACATATGTGATTTATTGAAAGTTTAGAACATGATTTAAAGTGATCAAACAGCTCAGTAAAAAGAGGTTTTTCATTACAATTATATGGACAATCAACTCTTTTCATTGGACAGATTAAGCGGTGATTCTGGAATAACAATATTAAAATTACTTTATGTATCAAACATATATTTATCTTTGAAATAATATTTTTATTTATATATAACAATTTTGTGACACAAGTTATAAATTTTTTTTTTTAAAACCTGTCACAAAATAATTATAACCAATGATATATGTTGTATTTATAACTAATAACTATATATAATTATTATTAGCCCATAATTATTTTGTAGCTAAACTAACAGGTATTTATTTTTGAGACCATTATTCTGTTTAATACCTGCTTTAAAAATGATAGCTGAGTCATTCCAAGCCAAATTGGAAACCACTATTAACTTTACCTCATTTTACCTAATTTTAGGCATTTTTCACTATATTTTACTGTAGTAAAATCTACTTTGTTCTACAGCAGCTAATGTATGTACACTTTTCAAACCAGTGTTTGAACCTTGTTCAAAACTAGTTTGAACCTTGTTCAAACCAGTTAATGCATGTACACTTTTCATGCTAAAACTATGTAAGTCAGTTAATGCATGTAAACTTTTCATGTTTTACCTATGTAAGTCAGTTAATGTATGTACACTTTTCATGTTTTAACTATGTAAGTCTGTTAATTTATGTACACTTCTCATGTTTTAACTATGTAAGTTAGTTAATGTATAAAAGATGTAAACAAACACTTTCGGCTTTGTAAAAAGAAGTTTTTGAAAAAAACAATTTTTATAAAGCAGAAACAAACTTCATTATTTTGCTTCCATTCATGTCTCATTCACATTCATTCATTCACATTCATTCATTCACATTTTGTTTTGAATGTTATTTTTAATGGCCACATTTTGAACCTGTTGGAAAAAGTATGGTATAAAAATAAAAACATTTATCATGGAAGTTTTTAGATTGAACTCTTTCTTCAAATATGTCTTGAGATCTTTTAAATTATTCTTTATTTTGATTCTGAAATCTTGATAAATTATTTCTCAGTTGTAGTCCATGTAGTAGTTCAGCTGGAGACAAGCCACATTTTATTGAAGTATTATATAATATTAAAATATCTTTGAAAATTTGCTTTACTTCACAAGTTGTATTTCATAAATTTTACTAATTTTACAATGGGTAATTGAGTGAATCAATAAGCGAATTTTAATTTAGAAAATAAAAATCTGTTTTCAACCAATACAAATACATTAACATAATTAACAAATACATTAACATATGCCATGTTTAAGCCAGGACTTCCTTTTTGATTACATAATAATAATTTTCTGTTGTTGTCAAAAATCTAGATGATTATCAATTGGTTTGTATACCCCATCATGGTTCTGGCAAATTCTGGTAAAATAAAACTACAATATATAATAAATTTCTACTTGTTTTCACTTTTACTGGTTGTAGCTGCCAAAATTGGTGGATAAACCAAAACATTTGTTTACCTCATTGAATGCTTCAGTATGAATGCTTCAGTATGAATGCTGCAGTGTGAATGCTGCAGTATGAATGCTTCAGTATGAATGCTTCAGTATGAATGCTTCAGTATGAATACTTCAGTATGAATGCTTCAGTATGAATGCTTCAGTATGAATGCTTCAGTATGAATGCTTTAGTATGAATGCTTCAGTATGAATGCTTCAGTATGAATACTTCAGTATGAATGCTTCAGTATGAATGCTTCAGTATGAATGCTTCAGTATGATTCTCAGTCAGTTGAACTACTATAGTAAGTAATTGATTTTGACAATTAATGAGAAAACTATGCAAAGCTGTAATATATTGGTTTCAGAAAATCAAGTATTGCTTCAACTTTTAATCAGATATTAAATTCTCTCTCCTGAAATATTATGTCTTTAAACTTCTACTTCACTTTGATTGAATACAAATTTTTTAAAATAAGGGTAAAAGTTTTCTAAATTAAGGGTAACTAGCAATACTAATAAGTTTTCATAATACTCACTTTCTGTGTTGCCAAAAACTAAGGAATCATTCATACTCTTTACCACTCCATTTAGACCAACAATAACATCCATTTTTTTACAAAAAAATTTCTGGAAGTGACGTTAATATTTGTTTAACACTTTGTTAAACAAAATTAATAAAAGGCGTAGCAAAGATGCACTTTGCGAATATTGTTATTTGGTAATATCTTGAGTTAGCATCTTATTTAGCCACAAAAAAAATGTAATTATTCCTAATCCTTTCAGGATCACCTTAAATTATCCTTAAACTCTTGAGTACAGAAGAAAACTGTTTTACAACAAATCTTTCAGGAATGTCTACTTTAACTTGGTTCAATATTTGTAAGGTAGGTTGACCTAATAAAGGAGTTTTCACCTTATTACAAACATATATGGTAATTAATTCACTGTTCTGACCATTAAAAATGTTTCTCGAAAAAAATCCCAAATAATTTTATTGGTTTATGATCACTACCGAATAATTGTTTGTTAGTAGCATGCAATTGTTTGATTTTAATTCCAATAGTTATAGAATTTAAATGGACAGTTCTTGTAACTGTAACTAGATAACCTGTGTAAATTTTGAATGTTATTTTTTTATATTTAACTTCTAGTTGTATTTCTTACTAATCTTATTCTATTTCACAAAATAAGATTTTGCACTTTCTAAATACAATGCACCTTAATGCTTTTGCAAGATGGACAAGTTTTTATATCATCTTTTTAAAACTTTTTAATTAGTTATTTAGGTGCTCCAGAAGGTCCTAACAGTCCACAGAGTACAGCAAAAAAGGTTTTAACCAAGAAGTTCATACTTCCTTCTATAACAATGATGTGTATGGTCAGAGTCAGCTTCGAACCACAATCAATCTAACCACTACACCACAGATACATTTTGCTGATCAGCATTTCAATAAGAAATATTTGATTCAGTTTTTAAGCAAACATAACTACTTAGGAGGTAATTTAAAATACAACTACATTCGTTTCTACATTTTTCTCCCATTAATATTGACAGTGACGTATCCAGACCAATTTTGACTCCAGTATACTGGGTTTGGGCGCCAAAAATCCAAAATTTAACTATGGAAAAAATTTTAGCATAAGTTCTTTGCTTTATAAAAAAGAGAGTTATATAAAATACAAGATAAAAGTGCATATAACATAAATAAAAATTTTTGAACAAATAAAAGTTTTTAAAGCATGCAGGAATAGATACAGTTAAAAAATGCAACTTTGCTAAATGACAAGTCAAGTGAGAATGAGTTTAGGTTTATAGAACAAGAGATGATAGCTCCTTTGAGCAGCAACTAAGATAGAATATCTAGAAAAGAGAGAAAGATGTAACCTTAAGACAATGGAAGAGTGGCTCCAGCTTGACAATAAAGGAAGGTCCAACTACAGTTACAATGTGTTTTTAGACCTTACCTAAAAGAGAAAGAGCATCATGAGAAGAACCAGCTCAAATATAACAACAGTATTTTATACAAGGGCAAATAATAGATTTGTAGAGGTAGAGTATAGAATCAAGAGTAAGATAATGGTAACCACAATAAAGCGAACCATCCTTGGCAGATGCTAACTTAGCAATCGATTGTATATATGTTTTTCATGAGAAGTCAATAGTAAATGATAATCCAAGAAGACTTAAAAAGTCTTCTTGGATTGTCATTCATTAACAGGGTGTAAACTAGCCCTGTGGAGCCCCGTCAAATGCAGTTTTTCCAAATGCTTATTAAATTAAAATTCCTAATTTAAAAGTGAAAAAAATCCCATTCTCCAAATAAAGTTTGCCTAATTAAAGTTTAATAATAGTTTTACAACTTATTGAAAATTAATTACTATTATAAACTAATAGAAAAATAACATAACAAATAATAATTTATTGTTTAAAACTTTTAAAGCGCGTAGTTATACCAATAACAAAACTTCTGTTATTGGTATAACTACACGCTTGCATAACTGCAAAAAAGTCTCTTGGAAAAAAACTTTTTGAGAATTGGGGTTTTCTGAAAGTCCCTATAATCACTCAAAAAAAATTCATTTCTCAAAATTTGCAAATAACTTTTTGCAATGTGTTCCAACAACAGCAAATATTATAAAAAAAAGTTAGCAAGAAAGAAAGTGCAGTTTAAAAAATTACAAATTTGTTTGGTTTAACACCCACAAATGCAATTTCTTAAAAAGTTTAGCCCTTTTTAGCTGAAAAGATAAATAATTTAGATAAATGTTTTTTAATTATAACAAACTGGTTCCAGAAATTTATTTAATGAGGAGAATAGATTTCTTAATTTTACTGGTTGCTTATATTTAAAACGTAAATTAAATACTTTTAATAGCAAGAATGTTTGTTTTTATTACAACAAACTGGTACTAGAAATTTAAAAAACAAGAAAACTAGATTCACTGCTTGCTTAAATTTAAAACTTTAAAGCAAATTTAAATGTTTCCATGAACCATAGTTATATAAACATTTTATGACTATGCATGAAAAAATAATTTTTGGTATTCTTCGTTGCCACGATAACCTGCAATCTCTTGCAATCTCTTGCAATCTTTTGTAATTCTTTTGTAATTCTTTTGTAATTAAATGATATTTGTTGCTGTTTTTCTGAGACTTTGTAATTGTAACTTTATTTTGCTATGTGATTTATATATAAAGAAAGTTAATATATATTATAAAATTGATCTCGTATGAAAGTTAATATATATTATAAAATTGAACTCGTAAATTTTATATTTCATATAAATATGAAATATAAAATTTACGAGCTTGTGCTTACTGTTTTCAAAAACTCATTTTTTTTTACATTTCATTTGATGAAACAATTTATTACATGATGGTGTAAGGGTTCATCCATAAAGGACGTCAAACAGAATTTAGATAATAATTAGAAGTAGAAGATCGCATATTACTTTGAAAATTAGAAGTAGAAGATTGCATATTTCTTTAAAAATTGCCCTTTAACGCCCATCACTGAAAAAAAAATGTTTAAAAGAATACTCTTAACATAAAAGTGGCAACAATATTGTAAGATTAAAAGTAAATCAAATATATTATTCTTAATAACAATTAATTAATACACATTGATTATTTTATAATATAAAAATACATAATTCTAAATATATTTTTGGAAATCGGAGCATAATTTGCCTTGTTGTTGTGAAATCATGTTTAATTTTGTGTTGATTTCATATTCATCTTCAATAAATGTTACAGACGTTATTTTTGTTTATTTTTGGCACTTTCAAATTAATGTATACAGCGCTTAAGTAAGGTAGAAGAAGAAAGAATGTAAGAAGAGGACCCCACACATTCCCGGTACAAATTTTAATCTCAGGGGAGGTGGAAGGGAGAGGGAGGGAGGTGATATATTTGGGAAATTTTTTGACTGATTCACAAATTTGTCAAAACACTGTATCAAATTTATTCCTAGTTAACACCCTAATTAATATAGAAATGTCAACAGTATTGGGATAGCTGTTTTCAGAAAACAACTGAGTTTTGTTGGAGTCACAATCTGTTACAAAAGTGAAATCAAATTCAAATTCAGCTGCTGTTTTAGGTAATCAAAAAGAAAAGAATTTTTTTCGAGACAGAAGTAAAAAGTTGATTCATCAACAAATAAAGCCACTTTAGATGTAAGGTTGTCAGGAAAATCATTAGATAAAAACAAAAAAAGTACCAGAGAAGATACTAGAAATAAAGAAGCGTGTTGGCTTTTGAGAAATATGTTGATCAAAGACTTAAAGATGTTTCTTATAATAGAGAGAAGATCATATGATAGTTGGAAAGGTAAGAATGTTCTCTTGAGTTTACAAATTGGAACAACAGATGCCATTTTCTAGCAAACAGAAAAACAAGATTCAGTCAAGCACTTAATAAATAGTTTGGAGAGAATTGAAGAGATTTATGAAGAACACTTTTGTAAGTTTGGAGAGAATTGAAAATATTTATGAAGAACACTTTTGTAAGACTGTGATAGAAATATTGTGTGGCCGTAGAAGAGTTTAATTGAGATAAGATTTGAGCAACAGAAACTGGAGTGATTCGAATGTCTAACAATGGGTTAACCTGTTTAATTGAAATGGCAGGAAGAGTATGTCAATAAGTTTGAAAAGTCGAATTAGAAAGAAATGTTCTTTGCAAATAGTTCTGCCTTCTATTTGGGAAAGCTATTAAGATCAGTCCCATGAACTAGGAATGCTAGACTTACCTTTGCTGTTGAAGATTTTTCAAAAGCCTCTGGAGCCTAACTTTTGGTGAGAGATTTAGTAAACTTTTTTTTTATAAACAGCTTTATCTCCAACAAGGCTGCAAGCAACTACTATAAGAATTGGCAATTACTGGAAAAGAAAAAATGAAGTTTATGAAGCAAGATAACAATTAACAGACAACTTAAAAGATTGTAATTATATAAATCAGAAAAAAAAAGAAGAGAGCAAACTCCTAAGAACTGACGTTTGAGGAAAAAAACTAGATGAATAAGTATTTTTAGAGCATTAAAGAACAGTCACAGTAAAAGGATGAGACTTCATTTGAATGACGAATAACACAATAATGAATTTTAGTAGATGGCATGTGAGACACTCTTAAAAGCAGCCCCCATTATAGTATTTATAGAAAAGAGAAAGAGAAGCAATATGACAATGGTTAAAGGATGGCTGCAAGAGCAGGTTCAACAATGTTTACTTTATGTTTATGTTTTAACAGGAGCTTAGCATTTTAAAGCTTTTTTTAAAACTTTAAGAATTTTAAAACTTGAAAAAAATTACTTTTGCGTTGTAAGTTAGCAGAGATATTTTCTATAAGAACCCCATAACTTTGAAAAAAAAAAAAAAAAAAAAAAAAAATTAATATCAATTAATTATTATTATAATTAATTTTGACAAAATAATTTGCTAATGTTCTGTAAAAAAATAATAAATTTGCTGTCCGTAAATTATTTTTCTAAAAAAAATTAATTTATGGACAATCCCTGAATTTTATGCCTGCATTTTGTTAAAAATTTTACATATTTTATCAAAACTTAGCAAATATTTTTATAAACTAAAGTCTAAAAAAAAAAAAACTTTTTAACATAGAAAAATTGATATTCGCAAATAAGAGTATTTTTTATTCAGTACAAAGACTTGGTACTTTTTCTGTAGTTTTAGAAAAACACCTTTTATTACCAATAAATAAAAAAATTAAAAAATTGTAATTTTTATTTATAAGATAATTGTCGATCCAAAATTAGAAAATAGTTTTTTTAAATTTTAAAGTGGTCATTTCCTTTACAGGTTATTATCTCATAAACTAGTTTTCAAAGAATTGTTACCTATTTGCATGGCTTGCCTAAAATAATATCTCTTTTATTGCCAGTGTTCTGTACCTATGAATTAAATTTTGTTCTACTGTCTAATTGTTGTCCAACTTTCACTTTTATTATTATTGCATTTCAAATACACTCTCTTGTGGTTTTTCCAAAGAACTACAAATTTCCACTGCTTTAATCAGTGTGAATATCATTTTAGAAAGTTTTCTTGTAATTTGTCACATCAAACACCAGAAATAATTTAATCTCTTAATAAACTTTTTACTTAATAAATTTCAAAAAGTTATCAAAGTATTCACTATCTTTTTGTAAACGTTTGAAACATTTGTCTTTCTAAAGTCTCAATAATAATACTCACTCTTCTATTTACTACTCCACAAAACTTTAGTCCAAAAAAACAGAAAGGTTTAATTTTTCATTTTCAAATAGGTTCAATTATTCATGAATTTTCTGAAAAATTTTATGAAAAAATTGTATATCTTAACATAGCAGCTTGATATGCTTGTGATTACAACAAAACATAATCATGCCATTTCTCAATCCAAAATTGAATCTACGACTATCATCTATCTACGACAAGTGCAGTCTCGGAAGAGCATAGACATTGGCACCAAGACATTCCAAGAAATTGGCACTATAGAGAAGGACTACCAGAGACGATGGAACCCCGAAATGATGGGTGACTGCTGTTGGATGCTCAAGAGGAAATGTGAAACCCGGCACAGAAGAAAATCAAAGAAAACAAACTTTTAATGAGATAATTAGTTCCATAGCAGCAAACACGAAATATGAAGCAATGGACATCTAATGAACTGCATTTATTTTCCACAAAGGTTAGTGTACTATGTGGGCCTTATGGCAAACAAAACTACAATAATAGGATTGGGTAAATAGTTGTGTAATCTAAATTGGTCTATTTACTGTATTAAAATTATAAAATAGATATTCTGAATAAAAATGTATAAAAACATAACTTATTTTTGTTTCTATTATATATGTTAACCATTACATATGGGGCAGTCAGCCCTAAATGGTATCATATAAAGTATATGGTATCATATAAGGTATATGGTATCATATAAGGGATATGGAATTATATAAAGTGTCAGATATCTAGAAATCTAAACCTGACACAGAAAAACTACTTTGATTATCAGAATCAGCACCCAAAACGTAGTTATTATCACTTATAGCAACCGAAGATACCAACCAAATATTTTTTTTGTAAACCAGTGTAATTAATTGTTTGTGTAAGTTTTCATTAGTGAATTCAATAAAAATTTGGTTTGAAACTGGATACAAAAATTTCTGTTAAAACTGAAGATTTGTAAATTTTATTATTATGAGTATTTTGGTTTATAAAAAAAAATGTTTATTTTGACTGATATAATTCTTTTATGCAGTTGTTTGAGACTGCTTTTTAGCAGTGTTAGACAACTGCATAATAATAAAAAGTTTCTGTTATGTATTAAAAGAAAGTCAAAAGTTATTGCTCCTAATATATGAAAGACTTACACTAAAATTTGTTATGCTAATCGCCTCCATATGCTATATGCTATACATTAGGCTGATTGCCTCCATAAGCTGCCATCTTATGACAGTTTGATGCTTGCTGTGGCTGGTGAATTTTAACCCAAACAAAAATAACAAAACACAATTTTTTACTGCTAATAATTATCACCTTGTTTATATTCATATATTGATGAATGGCAACATTTCATATATTGATAAATGGCAACATTTTATATATTGATAAATGGCAACACTTCATTTATTGATAAATGTTAACAACTCATTTATATTATTAAACAGCAACATTTCTTTTGAGACTTCTACATCTTCAAGGATTATCTTTCTTTCTCATGGAAATTACTAAACATCTAATCCATTGCATAGCAAGCATCTGCTAAGGTTCCTTATTTACCAGGATCGCGATTTTATTATTCTTAACTCCATTCTGTATCTCTGTATATCTCTTATCCCCTCTATGAAATACTGTAGTCATATATAGTATAAAAATTCAAGTTATGTCCTCTCTCTTTTATACAAGGTCCAAATACGCATTGTAGAAGTATTTGGACCAGCTCTAGCTGCCAAGCAACACAAATCCAATAAACTATAAGTACAGTATTAATTTAATTAAAAAATATTATTTTAAAAAAATCTGGAAATGGAAAAAAGTGGTTGTTTAACATCAGAAAATCTTTACCACTTAAACTGTTTCAAAACCATTTTTTGTTAAGAAAGATTTATTTATTAGTCTGTTAGTCAACTATTTTATAATAATTTTAAGTTAACAATTACCTCCAAGTCATTTGCCTTTATCGGTATCTTACAATCATTGCAAGTAATCAAACGATATAGACATTCTTTACTTTGGTGAAAATCCTTATTTCTTATTAGGATTTGATTATTACACTTATCGCAAGCTATCTGATTATAGTCACATCCGTCATGGTGTTTCTAAAAAAAAATTCAAATTTTTTTTTCAAACAAATTTTTTTTGTTTGTCAACTAAAATTGGTTTTCAAATTTAAAATTTTATTTTTTTTAACATTTAAAAGATTTACCAATATTAAGTTTTAAAACTAACTCTTTTGCTTTTTTTTTTTTTTTTTCAAACTTTGACTTTCTGTATTTACAACTCTTTAGTTATTATATTTACAATTAAACAAAAACAAAATAAAAATTTGTTAAAATTAAAAGTAAATTTACAAATAAAATAACACACACCAAGCAATAAAATACTTTATATATTAACCCTTTGACTGAGGCAAGCAGTCAAAGGGTTAGTAAATAAAATATTTTAATTATAGGAACCCTCATTTTAATTATAGAAATCCTTCAACGGAAAAGCCACGATCGCGGCTTTCCCGTAAAAGTATGGCAAGCCACAAAACTTATCTTAAAATGTATAGTATGGCTTTTAAAACTTATCTTAAAATTATAACTTTTACTGCATTATTTTGTAAATGTTAAAATTATAACCTTTACTGCATTATTATTGGTAAAACCTTACATGTTGTCAAATATTGGTAAAACCTTATTTTTAAAAAATAAACAGTACAGTTATTGGATAAGATATTACTCAACTTTAAGTCTTTCATACATAATAAATAAAACACGCTTTAAAATATTTACTGAAAATATTTAATAAATAAAACACGCTATTAAATATTTAATAGTATTTCTTTATTATTTTAACAATTGTGTTTATTTTATGAAAAATCTCACCATTTTACAAAAAAAAATATTTTAACAAAAAACACGCTGAAAAGTATGGTTATTCAACACTTTTTTAATTTATTGGACACATAGAACAGTTATTGGACGCATAGAACAGTTATTGGACACATAGAACAGTTATTGGACACAGAGAACAGTTATTGGACACATAGAACAGTTATTGGACACATAAAACAGTAATTGGACACATAGAACAGTTATTGGACACATAGAACAGTTATTGGACACATAGAACAGTTATTGGACACATAGAACAGTTATTTAGAACAGAATTTATTGGACACATAGAACAGTTATTGGAAACATAGAACAGTAATTGGACACATAAAACAGTTATTAGAAATGGGAGAAGAATATTGAAGAATCGATTATTCTAATTGTTTAATCATTGAACTGCGTTATAAAAATTGTCCACAAAAAAATGCTTTATTTGAATCATATTTCTTTGCAGAGCTATATAAATATGTTAATATTTATATAGCTTTGCAAAAAAATGTTAATTAAAATATTAACATTGAGAGAATGTGTGTGAGTATTTATTATTATCAACTTGACATAGGTTTTGCAAGTGTATATACCCACTTTAAATTAAAACATTATTTTAACTATAAGTGGGTATAAAAAAATACTTTATTTTGATGATTTGACCATGGCTCTTGACATGTTTTTAAAATTTAAAAATGCAATAAAAAAACTTACTTAAACTTATCTGAAAGTTTTTTTTAAAAAATTATATTTTGTTGTTATGGTAAAAAAAAAAAACAGCACTACTGATGATTTTTTGAAAGGCCTCTAGTACTAAAATATTAAAATTTATAATTAGTGTAATTTTTGTAAAATTAAAAGTAGAAAATATTTTGTTTATTGTTTATTTTGTTGACTAACTTTTTTTACTTATATATATATATATATATATATATATATATATATATATATATATATATATATATAAGAGTATATATATATAAAAGTATATATATATATATAAGAGTAAGTATATATATATATATATATATATATATATATATATATATATATATATATATATATATATATATATATATATATATATATATATATATATATATATAAGAGTGTTAATAACATTATTATAAACTAATTAATACCCTGTTGACACTAATGATAAAACAAGTTTTATTTTTAAATTCACATTGAATTATTATTTTTATTATTTTATTGAATTATTTATTAGTTATTATAAAAAAGTGTATAAAACAACAATAAACAGTATTGCAAGATTAATTTGTCAATATAAAAAATTTGTACTAACATAAAATAACCTTGTCATGTTGCTTCATTAATATTTTATACAATCTATAACATTAAAAACGTAAAATGCGTATAACGGGGTATACAGTATTGGCCATTAATAACAATCCATAATTTTTTTTTTCTTTTGATAACATTTGACTTTGATATCAATATGACTTTGATAATCAATGATTGTTTGAATGTTAATTGTTAATATTCTTTCAAATAAGTATAGATATTTATATAAATATTATTTGGTGTGCTAATTATCTTTTTTTTTTTGAAAAATTTAGAACAAATAATTAGAAGACTGGTACAAAAGCACAATTACATGTGCTGCTTGCAAATAACCATGTCTATCAAAAAAAAAAAAACATCAAAAAAAAAAAAAAGAGAAAAAACTAGTTTTTAGCTATTAAAACTTAGTCTATGAGCATGTGGCATATGTAATTTTTAGGAATAAAATGAACATTGAGGTTGATTAAAAAAAAAAAGAATAATGTTGAACGCCACAAAAAAATCGAGATTGTTTTATGTATAGAACAAAACAAAATAGTGGCAGTATTGGCATTTGGACATTTGGTATAAACTATATAGGTTTTGGTCGCTTTAAACTAATCGACAGAAGACTTGATGCTAAATTACATTTAGACATATAAGATAACAAGGAAATCAGCTTCTAAAAAGATAAGGCTCCATGTCATACTGCTAAAATTTGCATGTAATTAAAACCATGTTTTGGCCTGCCAATATTCCAGATCAATTGCACAAAGAACTTGCCGTCTTGGTTAAACCACAATCTTGTATAATGGACATAAAAGATCTGGACCAGCTGAAAATTTTTCCAAAGAATATTACCCAGAATTTAGTGAATTCGGTACCAAAACAGATGAATATATATATTATATATATTATACATATATATATATATATATATATATATATATATATATATATATATATATATATATATATATATATATATATATATATATATACATATATACATACATATTATACATAAATGTATTACATATATATTATACATAAATGTATTTTATATATATATATATATATATATATATATATATATATATATATATATATATATATATATATATATATATATATATATATATACTAAAATTAAAATCTCTAATTTAAATGTAAAAAAATCCCATTCTCCAAATTAAGTTTGCAAAAACATAAATTGAAGTTTAATAACAATTCTTAAAACTATTGAAAATTAATTATTATTAAATAATAATAGAAAAATAAAATCGCTGTGATTGATATAACTATGTGAAAACTGTGAAAATGTCTCTTGGGAAAAACTTCTTGAGAGCTAGAATTTTCACAGCGCATATAGGGATTTTCTTAGCAACTTGCTTGTAAAATTTAATTCTCAAAAATTGTAAATAATTCTTTCCAATGCCTTCCAACAACAGCAAATATCATATAGAAAATTTAGCAAGAAATAAAGTACAATCTAAAAAAATAACAAATTTATTAAGTTTAACACCTGCAAATGCTACTTCTTTAAGTTTCGCCTGTTTTGACTGAAAATTCAAATTACTTTTTATCTTAATCTTACTGCAAATCTTACAATCTTAGAAGCAGTAATTAAATAACTTTAATGTTAAATTTTAATATTATAAATATAATAATATCATATAAATATAATAATTTTATATTATATAATAACATAACTATGTTACGAAGGTTACTAACCATTCAAGCGGAACGCTTGGGTTAGGTGAACGGTGAAGAAGATTTAACATCAACAATATAAACTAAACAATTCGTTCAAGAACCAAAACGCGCCTAGCGTCTGGGGAAATTGTATAAAAACGCGAAGAAGACGAGGTATGGTGTGTATGTAGATATGGTGTGTATGTATGTGTATGTGAATATAGATATAGATATGGATATGGATAATTAGAGAAAGACGAAAAGAAGAGAGAAGAACGAGAAGATAGTTGGTTAAAGACGATAAGTCCAATGAGCAGTTTAATAGAAGTTACTGGTCGTTTATAATTTGGACAATACTTGGGTGTTGACAACTATTACTACTCGTTTTAGCTATATAGTAACAATTATTTTGTAATTATTTTAATTTTAAATAAACAATTGAGTAACGTTGTTATTGTGTAATATATTACGTAACAATTATATCAATTTAGGAATTTAATAATAACTTAATAAAATAACTTATTATATACTTAATATGATGTTATTATTTTTTAAAGGTTTAAAAAAAGAAAACTCAATTCAACTTTTATTTTATTTTTAGTTCCATTTTATTTTAATTTCCTCAAGTTAATACATTTTTTTATAAGTAAATAAACTTAACGAACTAAATTAGGAAAAATTCATTATTCTGTGTTAATAGATTTACAATCATTAAGTTATTGCATATTATAAAGGCCATTTTTCACAAGACAAGATTCGTTGATAAGCAGGATAAAAAATTTCTAATAATGCTGATAAATTCGCTGCAGCAAAGAAAACGTCAATTGTTATGAGCGAAAACAGTATAGTATATAAACAGTATATCACGTAAAGTCAACAGTGAAAAAACCAAAAAGACGTTGTTTTTTAAAATGGCAACAACAATGAACAACAACAACAATAAAAAAATGCTCAACTTGGTGTTCTTATTTACTTAGAACTCACCCTGAAAATTGGCAAGCATTAGCGAATTCATAAAATAAAGATGAATTTACTTATGCTGGTCAATTTCAACAGTGTCACTTGGCAAAAAGGTTTATCTTATTTCAGAGTTAAACCATCTATTATTTCCTGCAGTAATAGTTTTTCAACAGAAGTGTTACTATGAGAAGCATTTATTTTCTTAAACATTCTGAAAAATACAATACAGATATACATTTTTTTTATTGATAACAAAAATAGTAACCCAAAAATAATAAACAGCGTTTCGCGCA